ACGTCCCCCGCCCGAGCCTCTGGGCCCAGGCACCGCGCTGGGCACGCTGGAGGGAGGGTCCGAGGCCCGTCCCGTCCCATGTGACGTGTGTCCATCCCCTGTGACGTGTGTCCATCCCCTGTGACGTGTGTGTGTCCCGTGATGTGTGTCTGTCCCCTGTGACGTGTGTCCGTCCCCTGTGACCTGTGTGCATCCCGTGATGTGTGTCTGTCCCCTGTGACGTGTCTGTCCCCTGTGACGTGTGTCCGTCCCCTGTCCCGTGACGTGTGTCAGTGCTTTGCATTCATAGGCACGGAGCTCGAGGGCCAGGCTGTAATCTGCAAGCTGGCCCTGCTGGGTGGGAGCAGCCCCTGCCCGGCCTGTGTGCCCATCTCTCAGGTGAGCGCTGTGCCCACTGCAGGTGCCCGGCGACAACGGTGAACATCTGAGGCGGGAGAGGGCAAGTCCTGCCCGCAGGGCTGGCTGAGGACCAGCAGGGCCCAAGGTCTCAGGACGCAGGCCTGCCCTGCACGGGGAACTGCATGCTTTGGGGATTCGCGGACACCAGCGGGTGCTGGCGACGGGGGCCGGGCTGTGGGCCGGGAGGGGCCGGCCGGGGAGGAGGGACACTCACCTTCTCGCCCTTTGTGCCCTTCAGACCACGGATGCCGTCTGCCCCCTGCACAGACACGGGGAGAGAGAGCGCTCACACCTCAGAGCCCTCGCAACACCTGAGTCCGAGCCCCACACCACGGCCAGCAGAGCGCTCAGCGTGCATGCGTGAACCCAGCCGCCTCGCCGCAGACAGTCCCGTCCCGCGTCACCGTCTGAGCAGGAAGAGCTGCGGCCAGGAGGCGGGCACCCCCCGGGGCCCTCGGCTGCCAGCGGCCCTCGTGCGGCAAGAACTCAGAGCCAACTGAGCAGTTCTGGGCTTTTCCCCGAGGACAGGGGCTGAGACCAGATGGAGAGACTGAGGGATGGGCTCAGACGGGAGCTGGCCCGGCCTCCGCCTGGAGCCCCTGTCACCCCACGGCGCCCTGAGCCTGTCAGCCCCGCGATGAGGAGCCCGGGGCAAAGGAGACTCCATCCCGCCATCCGTATCGTCACAAATGCACCGGGGCTGTCCCGGCTCTGGAGCTGCCCTTCCCGGCTCCGCGGCTCACTCCCTGCCCTGCTCAGGCCCAGGAGGGGCCCCAGGCCCCCACGCAGA